CTAGAGTTTGAAAAAAAAAAACTATATATATACTATATATATAAAACTCCTTTACGAGGCAAAACATTAAGAATGAATGTTATGTACATTGTCGGCAGTGGCATTTTTAATTGGAAGCAATAAGGAATATTAGGAAGCAAGGTTTTAAAAGGCAACAAATCCTAATTCAGTAACTTTTCTGTTAACCTTCATTTACCAGATACAATTACAAACAATGCTAACAAAACTAAATTGTCTTCAAGATTGAGGACTAATTGATTGATTGGGTATGACTTCTCAGTGTCAGTGTGCCAAACTCCTCCCAAAAATGTCTAATCAAGTCAAACGTCAATAACAATTTGAAAAAGTGAGGTTTTAAAATGTTAGGAATAAAGATTCAGGAAGTTTTGAAATGTAACTTGAAAACAGATTACAAAAYTGAATTAGCCATGTACCCCGAGAAAATACAGTAATCACAAATTGTTACACGAACCTTAAATATTTCCTATAATTTGAAAAAACTTTATAGTCTTATATATGTGATTTTACTTTGACCAAATAAAAAAAGACTGCATTTGCTCTAAAAACAGAAAACAACAGCCAAGAAATAAAAATAATAATAATAATAATTTAAAAAAACAACTCATCGTTACTTTACATTGTAAAGCAAAATAAAAATAGACAGTTTATCAGGATTGTTCTCAGATTTAACTGGAAGTGAGGCTGATTTAAACTCAATAAAATTCAAACAGCTTTTAAACAATCTGAAACAATCAAACAAAAACCTTTATCAAAGTGCCAAGAAAAATGCTTTGCTCACCGGCAACCATATTAATCACATCAAAACATAAAACACAAAATATTTTCAGAATAAAATAATAAAAGGTAAAGTCATACGTACAGGCTGGTCTTGAGCAGTCCCTCGTGGTGTGATATAGTCTATGAAAGCGTATTTTGCACTCCGATGAGAACTTGACATTTCCTGCTTCATAAAGAAACAGGCAAAGGAAAATATTTTTATTGGTTTCAGTTATTTTTTTCCTGTAATATAAACTGATTTATAGATAAGTGACAATGCCATAGAAAAACTGAATATTTGAATCTTATAGAGGCAGTTTTACTTTTTACATTTTCTCACATAGTTTACCTGCTTGCCTCAACACAGAAAATACAGATGTTTTCTAATACAAGCTGTATGGACACTTTGATATTCAGTCATAAAGCATCTTTCTTCTTTAGGATGGAATTTTTTGTCTCCAACATAAACAAGATGACACTAATGGTTGGTGATCATGAAAATGATGAAAATTAAACACTATTTTCCTCAAAATAAGCAGTTTCTCTCAACCCAACCTAACCAGAATATCACTAAATCTATATTTTTCTTTACTTGAGAGCTTTCCAGAGACTTGACTGATCAATGCCATGATCTTCTAAAAGATCAATACCAGGGATGGGCAGCTTAAATGATGGAAGGGGCTTCAATTACCAGAGGGCCACATAATGCTGTACACCTACCCAAATGTGTGTATACATATAGCAAGCTGAAGTGCAATGGCATAAGACGCCTTGAGTGCAGACTCCTGTGTTGTTCTGGTAAAAAGTCGTTGACGTTTATGTATTCGCAACTTCAGTTAACTTCTCATATAGCTTTATGCAATGGGTTGGTGACTTTAATTAAAAACTTTCAGCCAATCTCTAAGCAGATTAAACACACAGGTTGTGTCTCAATTCATGGGTTGCTGTAAACGTAGGGTGCATTTGTCTGCGATTTATGTCACTGCCCTGTGTCATAGGCTGTCTCAATTTGTAGGGGCCTACTCGTGCAGTTGACAAAACCCCAAAAACATAGGCTGCATCCAAATATCCTATGCAGCCGACTATCCCAGTATTCTTTCCACCATCAGCAAATTAAACAGTAAAGCTAAGACAGCGGAGTGTTTATTTTAAAGTCACGACCGAGATTTTATTCATTTATTTTTTTATGGTGGAGTTTGGAAATTTATCATGGACCAATGAATTTGTTTTAAAATAAGTTTAGTAACTTAACTGATGAATTTTTTCTTGCTGCAAAGGAGATGTTTAAAATGCAGTTACAAGGGCAACGTGGTCACACAAACAAGCTTTCTGTAGACTAGACCAATGAGTCCCAACCTGGGGTACGTGTACCCCTTGGGGTACGCGAGCATATTACAGGGGGTACGTGGAAAAAATTAGCAAGTGTGTAAATAAATAAAAAATAAAAATAGGACTGAGATATGCAGGGCCCTATGATTTCCTGAATGCAAAAATTGCAGATGGAATCACAGAATTYGCACAAAATGGAATCCAGTATAAAACGTAAAATCTCGTGGAATTTGCACATTTAGGTGAGTTTCTGACGTATTTTGGACAATACAATATAATTTGGATGCTGCTGTTTTCTGCACCTGCCATTACCTGGTTTATTTATTTACTTATTCACTTTCAAGGCAACATTTTTATCTTTATGTTTAATTTGAGTTGAATAAAATAAAATGCTTAAGAATTAAATGATTGATGAATGATGAAATGAATGATTCATTTTCATTTAATAATCAGCTGTTGTACATTATAGTTTTGGAGAATCTTCATTAGGTTTGACTGTAGGGGTACTAGTGGAATGACTAATGGCTCAGGTGGTACATAGGTCTAAAAAGGTTGGGAACCACTGGACTAGACCAGTGGTTCCCAAAGTTGGGGTCGGGACCCGAAGTGGGGTCCTGAAACATCAAGGTGGGGTCCTGAAAAGATTTTCTAAATTAATTACATTTTTGCCTTAGTTGCCTAAAATGTATAAATGTAGAATAATAAATATTGTTACTATGCCCATGTTTAGTTGACCTGATACAAATGTTTATCATCCAAAAATAGTTGTGGGCTCAGGTCTCTGCTACTGTTATTTTGTGGGTCAAAAGCTGAAAAGTTTGGGAACCACTGCACTTCAGAAATCATTTTAAAGGGTAATAAAATAATTGGTGATGTAATATTTTCCCTATAATTATTACAAAAACACAAAATAAGTATAAATAAGTATTTATATTTGTGTAGCCTTTGTTTTTAGGGTTATTAGTGAAGTTCATGTACTCAGACCAGTAATATTTGGGGTCACAAGTTTTTGCCATGAATATTTTGTGGGTCAGAAGATAAAAAGGTTGGGAACCACTGGACTAGGCCATCTCATTTCACAGCAGTTTAGGCAGCCTACATGAGTGGCCTTACAGCCCACGTATAGGGTGGTGGGCCACGGTCTACATTTACAACCCATGAATTGCAACACAGCTATAGGTTTGCCTTGAAATTCTGTGAACAGATAGTCTACCTTCTCTCAAAAAGCCTTTTATTAAAAATAAAACCTCAAAGCAGCTCTTAGACTGTATGAAGTGCTGTGAGTGCTTTTCTAGGGTAAAAGTAATAAATAAATAAATAAATCATTGATGGCGGGCTGGATGTGGCCTGCAGGCCACCTGTTGCCCATCCCTGATAATGACCCGACAAAGTATATTTTTTCCACCACTAATTAACCACCTTTCTGTGATCATTTTAAAAACCAGTAAGTAATTAACACAAACACAGAAGTGCTTCACAAAGTAAACTTTAACACTGTAAAGTGGTTCATCTGGACTGAGTGTAAAGGGGAATGAAATTTTCCGTTATAATCACGTTTAGGAGTTTTCTGCACCAGCGGGTAAGCTTCTAGATTTTCATAGCAATAATGAAGTCTACTCACAGGTCCTGAGACAAGTAATCAGCTTAACTTAGGGAGGCCTTCAGCTTCGTTCTGTCAGCTTCAGACCATGTGCTGTTTCACTAAACTGTTGCCCTGCAGCTAAGCCCTGCGACCCTCCCCTGGCCCACAGGAGTGCCAGTGTTCACAAAGCTGTCTGTGACTTCAGCAAACTGTATGTTGCCTTGCAAGAATGAAAATGACTCTCAGAGAAGCTCTGAAACTCCTGCCAAAGGGTTGCATGGGAAAAAACGCCAACTATGCTCTAGAACAGTGGTTCCCAAACTTTTTATCTTCTGACCCACAAAATATTCGTGGCAAAAACTTGTGACACCAAATATTACTGGTCTGAGTACATGAACTTCATTAATGACCCTAAAAACAAAGGTTACACAAATATAAATACTTATTTATACTTATTTTGTGTTTTTGTAAAATTATAGCAAAAATATTACATCACCAATTATTTTATTACCCTTTAAATTGATTTCTGAAGTGCAGTGGTTCCCAAACTTTTCAGCTTTTGACCCACAAAATAACAGTAGCAGAGACCTGTGCCCMCAACTATTTTTGGATGATAAACATTTGTATCAGGTCAACTAAACATGGGCATAGTAACAATATTTATTATTCTACATGTATACATTTTAGGCAACTAAGGTAAAAATGTAATTAATTTAGAAAATCTTTTCAGGACCACACCTTGATGTTTCAAGACCCCACTTCGGGTCCCGACCCCAACTTTGGGAACCACTGCTCTAGAAGTCATTTACCAGATCAAACAGTTTTTGCAATGACTGGAAAAAGGTCAGAGGAGAATCAGGACTGAGATATGTGCACGGGAGGTGTTGTTTGACGGTAGTGTTCTTACCTCCGAAATGCTGAATGAATTTTTCTTTCAGGTGTGCATCTCTGCCAGCAATATCTGGGAGGGAAAAAAACTGTTATTGTAAAATTTTCTGTTAGCTTTTCAGAGCTGAATCAGAATTATGCGTTGGGTTTGGCATGTCACATTCAATTGTGCAAAAAATAATAATAAAATAAAACAAGTGACATTAGCTACCATAAACAAAACTATTTAGATCGGCTTAAAACCCTTTAATTGTCATTTTTTCGAACAACAGTMATGTCCTGACTCCAATTTTAGAAACTTTAGAGACTTGAAATGACTTTTAGGTTGTTTTAAGCAAGATTTTTGGGACAGGTGATGAACAAATAATAGCTGATATATGGCATCAGTTTTGAAAAAAAAAAGTTTAATTTTTGTCAAATTGACAAGCTAATGGCTGGTTTGAATTACATTTACCTAAAAAAGTATCTGGGATTTCTGTCAGACCTCAACTTAATTCTAATTTCTTGATGTGTTTACTGTTATGGTTAAATGAATTTGGCAGAAAAAGCAGGGAAATTTATGTTTGGTAGATTATTTCTTGTAACAATGCTTCTTGGCAATACATCTTACACAGATGAAAAGCCTGTTAACTTCCCTTTTAAATGTGCCACATTTGTAAGGATCATGCATTTGTGGGATGGACAGCGGAGCTCAGTATGTAGGTTGTGCTCATGAAAGATTTGACAAATCTTCTCTGCCAAACAGCTTATTTTGCTGTTTCTGATTCTTGTTTTGAGCTTCTCGAACCCCCAGCTGCTGCCAGTTGCTAAGAAGAATTAGAAATAAACAATGAAACACAAATTTCCTTACTTTTTGTTCCAAGTATATATTTTTTGTAATTATGTTTCCTTTCTGTGTTTGTGATCTTTGTGTTTTGTTCTATTTCTTTGTGTTTTTCCCTGTCATCATCACTTTTATTCAGCTAGATTCTGCTCCTCAGCTCCCATCCACTCTCACCTGTTAATAGAGCAGGTAACTCCACTCTGCTGCCCCTGGTTTATTTACACTCTCASTCTGCACTCTTCTTCCATTTGGCATAGAGCACATATTTTTCTTTAATGCATTTTGTATCAGCCTTTTGGGTTTTTTTCTTTCTTAAATATATCTAAGTTGTATTTTGAGGGTCTTTGCATTTGTTTGCATTCCTGAGTCAGCCACAAATGGGACAGAAAAGTTACTGACAGAAGTGAAAACAACCTATGATAGCTGTCTCAAGTCTTCATGTGTGAATCAGCCATGTTGGATTTTGAGGATGGAGGWGCTGATCAGGGTCTCTGACTTTTCCAAGTCAGGACTTGTTTTTGTCTTACCCAGGACAACGGATGAAAATGAACCACTGTGTTAACTCTGGCACATGAATATTCTTTTGAACATTGATTATTGTTCATTGTTCTTTTAATTAAGTAAATAAATTAAATGACTTTGGGTACAGGCATAATTTGCAGGGGGGTTAGGTGGGTTATGACCCTCACAATAATTGGTTCCAGTCAAAATACCCCCCCCC